AAAAACAATAATCAGAATATGTTAAAAAAAGAAAACCCATTCTTTGTAAAATCAATAACTTCAAATGGAGAACACAAGATGAGAGAAATTAGTGACTGAAGGAGCGAAGATAGAGGGGGAAATGGTAATAAACAAAACAAGAGAATTTACAGATTTAAAAATGAAATTTTTATCAGGCATGTTGATGAATCCCTGTAATAATAAGAGGAAGCAGGGTATCTCTGTGAGCCTGAGGCCAGCCTGGTCTACACAAGAGGTTTCAGGCCAGTCAGTGCTATACAGTGAGACCTTGTCCTAAACACAACAACAAAAGTAAAATTTCTAAATAAATATAACAGAGGGCCCAAACAATAAATTAAAAGAAAAATTCTCATCATCAAAAAAACCAAACAGGATCTCAAGAAATAAAGAGTAAATTTGACTAAGAAGATTCAAAGGGGAGGATTCATACATATATGCATATATTCATACACAAACATATCTCTCACACAAAAAATGAGCAGCATTGTTAATAATTAAGAAACTAGACTATTGGCTTAAAATATTTAGTAAAAACATATCTTTGATATAGAATTATAGACGTAAAGAAATCACTGAATATAAAGATAACATTAATATATTTTCAAATAGTATGACTGAATATTTTGTCCACTGTGACTAATTTATTGCATGGTCTTCTATTATGAAAAGTATCCTAGCTAGTTTTGTATCAACTTGAACACAAGACAGAGTCATCTGAAAGGAGGGAACTCTGATTGAGAAAATCCTCCATTAGATTGGGCTATAGCAGATGAATACCTTGGGCATTTTCCTACTTAGTAATTGATAGGGGAGAGCCCAGTATTTTGTGTTAGGGGTCACCACCTGTGAGCTGGTAGTCCTGGGTTCTAAAGAAAGCAGACTGAGTAAGCCACGGGGAGCAAATCAGTAAGTGGCCTTCCTCCACTGCATTTTTATCAGCTCTTGCCTCCAGGTTTCTGCCCAGTTTGAGTTTCTGCCTTGGCTTCCCATATGGTTTGTGACTCAGGATATGTAAGCTAAAACTTTCCTTTCCGAGTTTCTTATGGTCGTGGTATGTCACCACAGTAATAGCAACCCTAAGACACAAGTTTTAGATCTTGACTTGGAATCAACTGCTTTATTATCTTATGGACACAGTTTGACATTCACTTGTCAATTTTGCTGATGGTTTTGATACATAGAAGTGTTCAAAGAACCTGCAGAGAATACATTCAATATTTCTGTACATTCTCTTATCCATTTAAATAAATATTCACTTGTCTATTGTTTTTTAAGTAGTTAATTTAGCGTAATTATTTAAGCCTTTAAACTTCAGGGTTTTAAAATTATATATTTACTTTTTTTTCTAAGTAGCTAAGCTGCTCTTTATTTGCTTAACAGAAAGGTTTTGTTTTGTAATAGGCTCTCACTAAAAACCCTGTTAATATAATATCTTGTTCTATATAATTTGAGAGAATATTTTTTACATGTTATATTCATTGGGATAGAGAAAGTACTCAGGAGTTCCATCTTCTGCTCATTTATCTGATTGTTCTCATACCAGGAAACATAATTTTCATTATTATCATTCTGAATTTGATTTCAATAATTAGCTGTGTCTATACTTTACTACTTTATTCTAATTGAGACAAAAAGATTTATTTAGTACCTCTTTCCTCTTTGTTCTCACTTCTATACATAAAAATAATTTCAGCCAGCATGACTTCAATCCAAGCACTTAGGAGGCAGAGGCAGGTGAATCTCTGAGTTTGAGGTCAGCCTGGTCTACAGAGTGAATTCCAGGACAGCCAGGGCTACACAGAGAAACTATGTCTCAAAAAACTAATAATAATAATAATAATAATAATAATAATAATAATGGTAGTTTCATAAATTTTAGGAAAAGAGTTCATTCTAGTTTATCATTACACAAAATATATAACAATTGGAAATATGAGAATGGGTCTTTTTGCTGTAAGAGCAAACTCTGCTTTGCAATTGATTGAGTTCTTCTTCTCTGCTACAGTAGTGCTGTTTTCTTTCTATCCCACACACTGTTCATTAAGGATAAAGGTGTTTCCTGGTGTGGATCCTAGTGGGCAAGAGAGCAGGATTTTGCATGTTAGCTGCACAGGAAGTATAGGCTTTTGAATCAGTCACACTGGGCAGCAAATTCCAATGACCTTGAGTCTGGGCATCATTTTCCTTATTTATGGGATGACTGGGAAAGCAGCTTGGCTCCTGCCTGGTCCAGTTACCTTATCAGAGTCATCTAACTGTCTTTATGTTAATTACCTTAAGTCTGACATTGAAAATAGCATTTTGTGTTGCCTGAATACATGAGAACATCTCTAATAATTATTAAATTTTTAAACACGTATTTCTTCTTTTACATATATATTAGACATAATCTCCAGTACAGTATAAAATGCCAATTCTCATGGTATACATTTCTTATCATTTATCTTGGGATAAAATATCTTTTATATTTTAAAAAGTAAACTGCTAAGTAGGACTTCGATGTTTTATTCTTGTAAACTACTTTACATGTCTAGGACTGTTTTAAAAATATAAAGACAATTTAGAAGGTTCTTCAGGTCACTTTGAGAAAATTAACCTTGTAAAAATTTAATATCAGATATAATTTTATTATATTACGTTAGCAATAATCATAAAACTCAACCATCCTTGTATTCCTGGAATAATATTTTATGGTCAATATGCTTGGCTCTTCAAATGTATTATTCAATAGAATTTCCCAGCAATTTAAAATATATTAGATTGATAAATGAAATTCGTGCAAATATTCTATGTGGTACTTTGGAAAAATTAAATTTTAGCATGCCAGCCTCATAGTCACCTTTCTTGTATAGCAATATTTTAGAATTGTTTGTGGAACTCAAAGAGGGAGTGTTATGTAAATATATCCCAATTCTATATGTGGAATATAGTTTAATTCTCACAAAACTCTCCAAAGGAGGCATTCTTACTCTCCTTTTACAGATAAAACTCAGTGGAAAGAAAGTCATTAAGGTCTGTAAGACTCAACATTCATGCCAATATTTTTGATCACCATGCTGTTTACAGTGACATTCCTAAATACAACTTTCCAAGTGTACTACAGGTCCTAGATTTTGAATATTCATCCACTGAGTCACTGTTTACTGAGCCAGTCATGATGTAGCTGCAGGATGCACAGCAAGGAGACAACTAGAGAATATAAGTGAAAGCATTGTAGAGTCCAGGTCCTCCTTTATCCTTCCACTACTTCCAAGAGGAATTAACCTCACATTCTTCAAAAGCCCCTTGAGACCTATTGCAGTTTATAAATATCTAAGTGAAGAGTAACATTTTAAAAGATGATTCTGTCAAAGCACAGAAGTGCATATCTGTAATTGCAATACTCAGAAGCCTGAGGTAGGAGGATCACTGCAAGCTTGAGGTTAGCCTGGGCTATGTAGTTAGATCACTGCAAGCTTGAGGTTAGCCTGGGCTACATAGTTAGATCACTGCAAGCTTGAGGTTAGCCGGGGCTACATAGTTAGATCACTGCAAGCTTGAGGTTAGCCTGGGCTACATAGTTAGATTAGATTACTGCAAGCTTGAGGTTAGCCTGGGCTACATAGTTAGATCACTGCAAGCTTGAGGTTAGCCTGGGCTACATAGTTAGATCACTGCAAGCTTGAGGTTAGCCTGGGCTACATAGTTAGTGCTAGGTCAGAAATTACTACACTGTTACTCTGTTTTTTAAAAACAGAAAACAAAACAAAAATATACAACAAAAACAAAACAAAAAACCCCTAACATCTTACTTTAATGGACAGTTTGAAATGTCTGAGCTCCAATTTCGGTTATTTTTTTTTTTCATTAATTGTTCTTTGTTAAACTAATCTGAGGTTAGAGTTTTTTTTTTTTCAGTATTCATGGGTCATCTTTTAGGACTATTTTTGTCATATCAACTCAGTTTTAAACCCCAATTTTCAAAAATTACGTAGGATCTAGTGTATAATCAGTATTTAAAAGATTAACACTTGTGCAAAGGCCTTCTTATTTTTGAATTGATTAATTTAATTCATTCACTGTCTTACTTAAGCTTGAGAATCACCTGGGGGGCTTGTTAAAACAGACTGCTGGTCCCACAGCCCAGAGCTTCTGATTCAGTTTTTCTGGAGTTGGCCTTGAAATTCTGTGCTTCTAATAAGTTCCCAGGTGGTGCTAGCTGACAGTACAGAAACCATAATTTGAAAATCATTGCTGCAATTCATCACTTGGGTGTGTGTGTGTGTGCGTGTGCGTGTGCGTGTGCGTGTGCGTGTGTGTGTGTTTATGTGTGTGTGTGCGCACGCGCGAGTGTACACACACACACGCGCGCACACACACGCACACACACATAGTCTTCAGTAATATTTTGAAGAAGAGTACGGCATATCTTTTGAGCCATTGTGTATCTGAGAACTCTCCTCCTGCCACATGATAGCACTTTGGATGTATGACCAGCTTTTCTCCTAATGTCTGCACCGCTCCATTTTCTTCTGTGATTGCATTTTATGAGACTTTATCCATGCTCATACTCATTGTGTGATCTATCTTCTAATGAAAAGCATTTTTAAGAGTGTGATGAGGTAGAATTCTTTTGGCATGGATTTTTTTTTTTTTCCGAATAAGAAGGGACTTTTTCTAGCTATATGGTTCTTAACTTACTATTACTGTTACTATAAAAAGGTAAACATTTCAATGTATGCTTTTATTTCTGAAATTAATATTTATTGCACTGTTAAGTGAATTAAAACATTGAAAGAGCCTAGAAAAAAAAAAAACAGGTATGTGGGAGTGCTTGGAAGATGACCACAGAAGTGTGTGCAGAAAGCTCACAGTTGCATGATATTCTTATTTTTAAAGTGACTTTGATGTCCTACTTTCTCTCTCATGAATTCACGATTGTCAACAACTTTTTCTTTGCTGATTTTAATTCCTGTGTTGTCCTTCTTGTTTTCTTCTAGCGATCTCTAAGCCTGCCCTTTACAGCATATACAACTCTGCTGTGGGATGGTCTGTATGTCCAGTGTGTTGCTGATTGGTCAATAAATAAATCACTGATTGGCCAGTGGCCAGGCAGGAAGTATAAGTGGGACAAGGAGGAGAATAAAGCTGGGAAGTGGAAGGCTGAGTCAGAGACACTGCCAGCCGCCACGATGAGAAACACCATGTGAAGATGCCGGTAAGCCACGAGCCATGTGGCAAGGTATAGATTTATAGAAATGGATTAATTTAAGCTGTAAGAACAGTTAGCAAGAAGCCTGCCATGGCCATACAGTTTGTAACCAATATAAGTCTCTGTGTTTATTTGGTTGGGTCTGAGCAGCTGTGGGACTGGCGGGTGAGAGAGATTTGTCTTGACTGTGGGCCAGGCAGGAAAACTCTAGCTACACAACTCCCCACCACCACGCAACGATGCAGACTTTGCCTTTATTGCTGTATTTTGCTCCCTTGTTTCAATTCCTCATTTATTTTGTAGCTTGCCATCTTTTCCAGGTGTAATCGCTATTTGATTTCTGTTTTATTTGTTAAGTAAATCCCCTCTTCAGGAGTACAGATAGAAACAGCATTGATGTTCACAGCTCAAAGCTAACTGAGCAGCATTTAGTAGACTTCTATAGGACTCTAAGAGATTAAGCATAGCTACTTTTATCTGCCACACCTGCCTTGATCTCTGATAATATATCGAAATTGCCCGCTTCCCAGGACACAGACTCTAAAGATCCTCAACAGTGTAATTCTACTTGAAGATCTTGGCTTCTGAAGATCACTGCCCTTAAACATCAGACCCTGCCTCCAGATGCCTCTTTGCTCACAGAGGTAGGGTGTTTTGGTGTCAGGGCCGTCCTCTGTAACTGAAATCCAACAATTCTGTTTGTCATAAAGTAAGGATAGAAATATCAAATGCTTGCTTTTCTCCCGGGTTAGAGGGGGAAAACTGTAAAACAAAATATAGACAAGAGAACACTCATGTAGCAACATCTTCTGCACATTCATTTCTGGACACATTCTCAAAAATACTATGTCATGAGGTAGGGATGGTGAAAGAGATTTTTTTTTTTTTGGTATTTCGAGACAGGGTTTCTCTGTGTAGCTTTGCGCCTTTCCTGGAACTCGCTTTGGAGACCAGGCTGGCCTTGAACTCACAGAGATCCGCCTGGCTCTGCCTCCCGCATGCTGGGATTAAAGGCGTGCGCCACCACTGCCCGGCTGGTGAAAGAGATTTTTACTGATGTGCCCTATCATTTAAATTTTAATACTTATAGACAAAATTCACTAAAAAGAATATCTGAAAATTTTATAACCATTTTAATGAGTAGGTTGAAGTCAAGTCAACATTTTGCCATTCTTTAGAATGGATGTCTGTCATTTTCTATATTGTTAGGTATTTTAGTCAGACTTTCAAAGAGTCTACTTAATGATATACTCAACAAAAAAATTAAATTGCTCCATATGAATTACTGGTATTACAACTATCATTGACTACACTTAATCAACCAAAGAAAACAATTTTATTTTATTCTGTGAAATGAACATCTCAAATTGTATTACATAATATCATATGATGATAGTATTACTCATGTTATAGTTCTTTGATTTTTCCTTCCAAAGAGAGGACTGAAAGACATAGGTACCAGACTCCTCTGGAATACTTGATGGATGTACTGAGTAAGTTGTTCTCCAGGCCAAATCAGCATAGTTATAAAGATTCTCAGGTAACTGTCATCACTCTGGGAACTCTATTGGTGACCATTGTAAGCCTTCATAGAAAGGTAAAACTAATTGGCTTTGGAAATGATTTAGAACAGCACACAAAAAGCAGACATGCATACACACATATGCACACACGTATGTGTACACACATATCTCCACAAAAATTCCTCTGTTCTTATAACTATAATAGAATTTGGGGAACTCAAGGGTTAAGGTTAAGGAAACAGTTAAACTACTCAAAGTAGTTTTTGGTCCAACTCATTTAGATCATGTTTACATTTCATACTAGTTAACAGAGAAATCTATAATTTTCCTTTAATATGAGAATAAAGTAAAAGATCAAGTGTTTGAACTAATGAATAAAAATATAACATAGTAATGGTCTGATCCATTAAGCCTTTGACATCTACCTTAAAATATTCCTTTGTGTTATTTCTCAGAATATTAATATATGAGGTTTATGAAGGACAGAGGTTAATAGAAATGATGAAGGGTTTACCAGAACAATTAAGGTACATTTGTGACCCTCCATCACATGATACTTTTTAAACTGTGATTAATCTTAGCACTATCTTTTATATATTTTTTTTTTACTTAATTTTGCTAAAGAGATTAGAGTCACTCCTCATTGTTTTCAACCTAAACATAAAGAGCCTCATAGATGTATGCTAGAATAAATTAATCTAGAGCAGTAGTTTTCAACCTGGGGGTCAAAGACCCTTTCACAGGGGCCGCCTAAGACCATGAGAAAACACAGATATTTATATTACTATTCATATCAGCAGCAAAAATTACAGTTATAAAGTATCAACAAAAAAATTTTAATGGTTGGGGATCACCACAACATGGGGAACTGTGTTAAAGGGTCACAGCATTAGGAAGGTTGAGAACCACTGATATAGAAAGAGAAAAGAAGACAAGGCGGGTATGGATGGTGAAGTTACAATACCATACATAGATTCATGTGTGCTTAACTCTGTGATTTCACAGAACATACTTAATTTCTCTGTACATCCACTTCTTTTTCAATGAAGCAGGCCACTAATTCATACAACTCAATCAGGTTGTTAAGTAGTTAAATAGTACAGAGTGTGAAGAGCTCTGGGCATTGGACACATACTGAAAAGGTTTTTTTTTCATTTCATTTTTTTTTCTTTTTTGAGGCAGGGTTTCTCTGTGTAGCTTTGCACCTTTCCTGGAACTCACTCAGTAGCCCAGGCTGGCCTTGAACTCAGAGAGATCTGCCTGCCTCTGCCTCCCAAGTGCTGGGATTCAAGGCGTGCGCCACCCACCACCTGGCTTTTTTTAAAATTTATTTATTTTTATTTCATGTACTAATTAGTGTTTTGCCATGGATGTTGGGACCCCAGGAACTGGAATTACAGACAGTTGTGAGCTGCCATGTGGGTGCTGGGAATTGAACCAAAGGTCCCCTGGAAGAGTAGTCAGTGCTCTTAACCATTGAACCATTTGTCCAACCCCATATACTGAAATTTATTATTTCCGTTAGAAAGATTTACTACAAGGGTCACAGATTTTGAAAGGACAATTAACTGGATTCCAATTTGAATATTAAGAGTTGAGCTGGATCTCCTGCATATCTTCTGTGTACATGTAGCATACCTGGGCCACAAGGAGATGAAAAAGAAGCCACAGTCTCAGCTTGTAAAAGGCATATCATTTGTTATGACACTTTTATGCATGTATATACAATTAATATATGCTAATATAAAGACTGTCATAATTCAAACACATCAGTCATCAACAATGGGCTAAGTCAGAGCAACTCCAGAAGATTCCTTGGTCTCTGCTTTAATTCACACACTTACTTATAAATTAATTAATACTAATTAAAATGTCTTACAGTGTATCACACTAGATGTGTGCTAAGAGCCTAACCTTCTCGTTTACTGATTCAATTCATATTCTGTCTTGTTTTCTTTTGAATAGGGGCAAGGGAAAACAGCGGAGGTTCCTCCTTTTCCTTTTAGAAAGCTTACACTTAATTATAGACTTTTTGGTGTTAACATCACCCCATCTCACCATCTTCAAAATGTCCTTTTCTTTCTCTCCACCTGATGAAAAGGCAGTGTATCTGAACTGCTTCCTGGTGCTTTTTGCAAGCTCAGTTGAAATTATAAAGGAGAGGATGCTGCTACTGGGAAGAAAGATGGATCTGCGGGAAAAGACAGTGAGACAGTCCCAGGAACACAGAGATTTGTAACTGACGGAGGATGGAAGAAAAGCAAATGAAGAATGGCATCCAAAGTTTGTTTCAGCAACATGGTTGGACCAAGCACTCCATAGTTCATTCAAGTCAGTAAGAAATAAAGTTATTTATTGCTATCTTGATGAATGGTTCATTTCAAGAAAACCTTACATACTTATACTTCAAGAAAAATGACTGAATGCAGCCTTCATCTTTGCTTCTTGGAATGAACTGTCTGGGCTTGTCCCTCTTCTATTCAGTTAGCTCAGTTTTCCGATAGATAGATGAAGTGGTATAGGTAACAATGGCTTCAGAAGGATATAGTCATAGGTATTTTTCAACTCAAGTTGAACATATTCATCTCTCAGTAATGCCTGTATCCTAATCAGAATTTAAGGGGTACACCATACTTAGACAGAGAATTACCATAATTCAGATCCAAGAAGACACTGATTAAAGAAGAAAATCTGGCTGCTTATCTTTGGAGAAAGATCTGAGTTTGAACTTAGTTTATGATATCTTTGGTTTATGTAGACTTTGTTGAGTTGCTTAATTAACTCTCTGTAAAATGGACCTAGTTATATCAACCTCATAGGATCATTTAAATAATGCTACAAGTAAATTATTCAATCATGTGTTACACAAAAAAAATCATATTAAACACATTGATGTTCTGACGTAGCTTGTGTGAGTCTTAACGCTGACCATTTTTCTAATACTAGCAGGCTGTGAATACAAATTTTCAAACACCACCAACAGCACATAGTAATGTGTATATTGAGATTTATAAATCCAGAAAAGATTTTTTTCTTAAAATTCAAGGTGTATTACTTTAAGAGACAATAAAATTTACATATTAAGGCCCGGTTATTAGAACAAAGTTGAATACAAAGAAAATAAAGAAACCACTATTGGTATTATTATAGTATAAACACCCACTGTTACTCTCTCACATAATGATGAGCACAGACATATTCCACAAATAGACCAAGTATAAAAGAATAATGTGATCAAACATATGAGATTATTGGAACTGTTCTAGTCAAACCACCTCGGGTTGAGTTGAACTTTTAAACTCTTTGACCAGGTAGAGAGAAGCTGGTCAAACCCTATTCCTTTCCATCCTCTACACTGATCTTAACTCTTCCCATAACTTCTGCTTTACCTTGTCAGTCTCCATTTGGAACATCACATACCACCTGCATATTGTCAAGGGTTTTCTATGCCCTGTCCTTCAGGACCTGTTGAGATTTTGTAATTCACATGGCACTGAGTCACTGGGACTGAACACCAGGACATATGTCTAAAGAATACTGTGAAACAACGTCCATGGTTTTTGAACGGTACCATGAACAGGCTAAGCACATGCCTCTGGAAGATGCTCAGTGCACAGTGAACTGCTAAAGAAGGAAATGCTTCATTGTCAGAGCTTAGTATAACTGATGGCTGCTTCTCTTCTCCTTATAAATGGATACCTTTGCCCAGGGATAACCGAAAAAAACTAAATTGACAGAAACAATCAGAAATTGTCATACTCTTTTCTATACTTTAATGTATCGAGAAAATACATAAATTTAGTGTAAGTACTTCTTCTCAGAGAGGACTTATTTTCAGTGTAGTATTGTCTCCACGAAGAAAAGAAAACATTGTATTTCACAAAACTGAGTTTAATTTTACTCTTGTCTGCCTCTCACACCTGTTTGCTTTTCAAAGGACTGCTGATATTCATAAATTATCTTCAGAGGCACTCTCAAAACAGATTGTCTTTGCATAAGCAAGTGTTGGCTTTCAACATGTAACCTTAACTGGTGTAGCATATACTTTTCCCTTCCTAGACTTCCAATTCTGTGTTCTACTGTTTTTGAAGAATTAGTTCTGATTCTACTTATGATTACTTGTTTCAGATACTTGACCATGGGCCAAGACTATTGATTTATCGATGTCACAATTCTCTAACATAGAATATAGCTTTTGAATTAATTTTTGAAATAAGATATTCAAACTAATGTGCATAATAACACAGCTTGTCTTCATCAACTTTTACAAAGTGCTCTCCCCAGAGCAGCAGCAAGGACATCACACTTCCAGCCCCTCCCCCACTCCCTATACAAAATGACCAAAGTCTGGGGGAAGGAGGGTCAGTATTGGTGCTCTAAAAAGCCCTCCAGGCTCCCATGCATGCTCAACTGCATTTACTGAACTCTCAGGTCACTGTGTGGATACCCATAAGTGAAACTTGACTACATTTTAGAATATAATAAAAGAATGTTTCCTTTACCGTTAGCAAGTGAATTCTGGATATAGAAATAATCAGCAACATAAATTCAAAAACTAAAGATTAATCTATTATTTTCTTATGTCATCAGGCATTAGCTTCCAACAGGTTTAAAGATCCTCAGATGAAGAGAGGCAAGGGTGTTTTGATAGTCTTTTAGTTGTGAAGAGTAAATGTGCCTGCTCCATGGAGTAGAGCCTAGGAGTCTGCCAATCCCCAATGCCCAGGGATTGTAGAGGAAGCAGGGGTAAAGATGGTGAGGAATCTTATTCAAGTCATGCCCTCCTTTTCCTAACTCCCCTTTTCACCATTCAGTCGGTCTTCTTCTTCCTCATTTCCTTGGGGAGCAGAGTGATTGATAGCCTAATCCAATGACTGTATTCCAGCTGCCTCAGCGAGGACTCTTTTCCTTATCATTAGCAGTTAGCCTATGGTTAAATTCGCAGCTCACTGCTCGGGACTGCCCCTGAGATTTCAGGGTCTGGCCTTTAGAAAATATTTAACATAAAACTGAAATCTTGACATACTGAGAACTCAGTTCTCTGCAAGGATTCATTAATTAATCCAATGTACTGTACCGGTGTTCGGTATGAGAGTGTGACACGAACCATTTCGGAGGCTTACAGAGATGTGTAGTCCTAAATTAAACAGCCGCTGACGTGTACCTACACTGATGTTTTAGTGCAGCAGATATGCATGAATCTCTGAATATTTAAATTCAAGCTCTGACATTGACACCATACTCTCTAGTTTCACTTTCATAATAGAACCTTTTTGGGGGACTAATTTCAAGCTTGACATCATTCTTTATGATAAAAACATACACATACAAGGAACAAAATTTAATAATTCATTACCATTGCTGCAAAGTTAAGTTTTCATAATATGCTTGTCAGGTCTTTTAGTTTACAAAGTCAATCAAATATTACAGGAATTGGTGCAGATAATAATTTATTTTCCTGATTTTACACACACACACACACACACACACACACACACACACACACATTATCAGAGGATCTATGATTTTGTCGACTCTTACATACTATTTAATCATTTATCTGCAGAATAATGGCTATTTTAAAATATCTAAGGAGAGGCTACAGACCTTGACCTGTGCTTTAAGCCTTCACCCTTGCCCCATCTGTCGATGAGCTGTAAGCATCTATGGATATGGCAGCTGAGTCCCAGAAGAAAAATTATGCATCTCATAACTGCTACTTGGCTGGAATGTCAAGCCAGGGTGAGGCTGTGCCTCAAACTCTGCACTTGGCATTTTCCCTCTGTCTGTCTGCTTTGTTGCCATGACGCAAACATGAACAGTGAGATTTGTGTAGGACAGGTAGCAGGCAAGCTCACTGTCAAAAATCTATTATTAGGGTTCTGATCTCCTGCATAGACCAGTAGTGGCTAAACAGTGATGCATGTGAACTGCAGCAAAGGCAGTACAATGCAAAGGGGATGCCTTGTCAATCAGTGCATGAGCATTTTCAAGTGAGCGTTCTTTGAATGAGCTTATTTCTAATGGTGAGTTGCTCTGGGCCAAAGTGATAATTAATAATGAAAATTGCAATTCAACATATTTTATTTAATATGCCTACTTAGAACTGTTCTGTAAATACGATGCATATACATTTATATAACAGGGTGTTTGTAATTGGATCTGTTAAACTTTGGATACACTAACAATGTTTTATATAAGGAAATAACAGAACACAATTTTTGCAATTATTTGAGTATATACACAAAATGGAGAATAAGACAGAATGCTCTCTTTTAAATGATTCTTTATGGCATGATCTAGCAGCATATTTTTCCTAAATTTTATCTTTATCTATTAAATTATTTTAAACATTTCACTGTTAAAACTTCAGCTCTTATTGGTTACAATAGATAGCTTAAATTTTATGAAGGATAGTAGGCGTGTTTTTCTAAAAGGCTTTTATGCATCAGTAATCATGTGATTGACACATTTAAAAATCCAACCCTTTAATGACTACTTCCTAATAAAAATATCAACACTGTATTTTGTGATATAATTGTGATGTGTAATGTAAGTGCTCAAGTGATCTACCAAAATCAGCAGTAGCTTGCATGTTTGAAAATAGTTATTTAAAGAAAAGTATAACTAAAACTTTTGAGTTTCCAATGTATGGTATGTTTTATCATCTTACCAGATTTGCACAAATAGTCACTGGTACTCCAGCAATCTAAGCTTAAGTCGGTGATGAAAGTGGATTACAGTGGACAGTTCAATCCCTGGGACCTATATGGTGAGAGAGAACTGGCTTCTTCAAGTTGTCCTCTAACCTTTATGTATACACTGTGGCATGCTTGCACCTGTGTACACACACACACACACACACACACACACACACACACACACACACACACTAATTAACATAATAAAAATTTAATGTAAAATTGTGTGAGTTTTTTAAAAAATCTACTGTGCAAGTTTCCTCAGTGAAACACTGTGTATGCTTAGTTCTACACCATCACAAGGGTACAAATTAGTGGTAAATTTTTGCCCTGTATTTTGTTTGGTTAGTAGTTTTTATGGTGAAAATGATTTATGAGTCATACAGCTGTAAATTGACGTCCACATAGTGGGACTTCAAATGATGCATTATTCACCTGAAGACTGTAAAGAGAATCTATGGGGTCTGCCATCATCATTTCCTGAGAAAGACAAAATCACTTCTCACATCTTCTGCAATATTGTATTCATGATTAGCACTTTAAGGCTAAAAAGTCAGACTTGAAAGCCATCTTTGATGAATTATTCAGGAATCAATAATACAAGCTTATTAGGTTTAATATAAAATAGGGTAGGTGCTATTTTTTTAATTACATATATACATAATCAAATTTAAAGCAAGCATCCAAAATTTTAAAATAAGGAGTTCCCATTTTGTGGAAAATCACAACAAAACTGGCAAACAAAATACTTCAAAACAATGATTCTGCTTTTAAGCCGTTTGGAAGTAAATTTCTCTAAGCCTGAAGTATTATTTAAAATGCCATCTGCAGGGAAATTTAATAACTTTTCCCTAAGTGCATGTTTACATGTGTGACAGACAACATACATTCAGGGAATGGAATGAAACAAAACAGTCTAAGGAATATGCTCTTCCTCAAGAATGAGAAAAACTAAAAGCATAGGAACAGTGAAAGAAAATGTCTTCAAGTAAGTAAAACCATTGAAAGAAACACAACTACTCTTTTTCCTATGTCTCTGCAAATGAACAAAGGCTATCCTCCAATGTCAATTGTAAAAAACACATAGCTTTAGCTGATGCCATGTAGGACTCACTCTTAA